CATACTATGGCATGACGCAGCCTGGCAGTGACACCGTGCTAGAATATTCTCATCACGACGCAATAAACAGGTAGCCACCACCCTACTGCATGCAGAATAATTTGTTATCCGAAGATGATGACAATCTACAAGACGCATATGTGACATGTACCTGCGTAGAGCCTGATCGTTTCGGGGGCATACTAATGTAATAGGGCCCAAAAAAGCACAGAAGCAAAACTTAGGATAGCAACATCCCATATACATCCCTTTTATAATGAATCCCAATAAGGTAGGAATATCCCTATAAAATGCTTATGCTTATGTGCTGTTTGGGTTCTTAACTCTAGACCAACTCGCACCCATGGAATAGTCCCTCTCCCACCTAAGTCGCAAGCGGATCCAAGGAACGACAAGACAAAGCGCTTCCAAGGAGCTCAGCAGCCGTCTCCGCAGGAAGAGAATGGCAGCATGGTACCCATCGGCGTGGTTGGTTGCCAGTTGGGGCTCTATAGGGTCTTTAGAAAAAACCTTCATGGTACGGACATGGTACGACTTCGCGACTATTGGGGTGGTGGATCCGGTGTGTCTCCATGATCTCTACCCTGAGAGCATCAACAAGAGAGGCGATGACCTCTGTAGCCTCGGGATCTTTCGCAGAAGGCGGGATCTACGGGCCGGGCTTCGGACGGTTTAGGTTGTAAAAACAAAGGGTTTGTACGGATTCTGGTGTCGGTCGACGTGGACGACCCTTGCTGCCTCAAGCCCTTCCTGCATCCAGTTTGGGCCTCGGACTCTCAGCGCTTTATCGGGAAGTTAGGGTTTAGGGTTTACCGTCGGGAGCTTGGAGGTGAAGAGTTTTATGGCTCAGAGGTTTAAGAACTTTGGGCTTCGGGCCTAAGGCTCTAAGGGCTCAGGGCTTTTCCAAAGTTAAGGTCCTGATCGCTAAGCAACTCATCTGCAGCCAGCTCCTGGTCTTGCCCGCACGATTGTTGCAAAGCGGCTTTGTAGCATGCTGGTAGACCCGCAAAGAAGCACACCCTCATGTCCAGATTCACGCGCACTTTACATGGAGCATGTGTTGTTCGGGTGAGTGCAACACACGTCATTATCCAAGGTACTCGGTTTTTTTCCTTTTCTACTCTGCGAATCGACTCTGGGAGCTATGAGCTTCACATCATTTGCTGGAATCGGGCTTTGAAGCTCCGCTTCCCCCTGCCCAGAGCACGCATACGGTGAGATAAACCGTGCAGGTTCCCATGAAGCAAACAAGCAACTGGAGTGCTGCATAGGTGTTGCGGCCCCCGAAGTCCACGACGAAGCGGGCAGCAATAGGTCCCAGAAAGCGGCTCAAGTTCACGGCCATTAAGTTGTGCATGCGATACTTCTCGATGCTGTAATGTGTGCCCTTCGTGGCAGCACGGGTTGCCAGGCCTTGCCCAACACCGTTTGAAAGGCTTACGCCACCATAGATCATGGCATCGGCCCATAACAGCGTGCCAGGCCCAAAATGTTTCCAATCGAACAGCCAAAAAACACCAATCAGGGATGCCACAGACGCGGCCAAAAACACTTTGGATTCTGTGACCCACCTCCTGGAAATCAAGAGGCTGGAGACGCCAGTCATGATCGTGCTAGCTCCTCCCACCACCATGAAAGAAGATCCACAGAGAGCAGGTGACCAGCCATATGACCGTTCCAAAATCATCATCGTAGCCACCTCAATGGCTGAGAGCGTGAAAGGCCTTTCGTAACCTGCCGCAGTCTTGGATGCTATGCAAAGCGATCATTTTATGTTCGTAAGGCTTAAGATTTACGAGTTTGTAACGAAACAATGGCCGAGTGGCTGTATACAATCAAGTATTTCACAATTAACTCCCGGGACTCTGGAGGCAACTGCTCTGGCGGCAGCATGAAACCAGCTTCCTCTGTTTCAGGACTGGTCACCTCAGGCCCCTTCTCAGCCCTCAGTTGCTCGATATCTCAACGGCTTCTTTCGCAGACTGAATGCCAAGAAAGTGACTAACCCC